TATATATATATATATATATATATGTGTGTGTGTGTGTGTGTGTGTGTGTGTGTGTGTGTGTGTGTGTGTGTATATATAGGTTAGGTTATATATATGTTTTGTTTTTGTTTTGTGTTTTTTTAATTGGTGAGTGGTTTGGTGAGTGAGTGAACTATTCCTTTACCTTGGTCAGTTTGATATTCACGTTAATCATAACTAAAATATATACAATTGTTGTATTTTATTTTATAACAAATTTTTTTTAAATTATTATTAGTAATTGAACTGTTCCTTTAACTCGGTCAGTTTATTTATGTTAATCATTACTAAAATACCTACAATTATGTTATGTTATTTTGTTTTGTTTCTTTCTTTTTATTAGTCAGTGAATTATACTTTGTTTTTGTTTTTAACTTGGTCAGTTTGTTATTCATAATTATTTTTTATTTTAATGTTTTTTATTTGTAATGTATTATTTTATTTTTATTTTACAACAATTTTTATTAGTGATTTAACTGTTCCTTTAACGTGGTTAATTGTTACTCATGTCAGTCATTACTGAAAAATATACAGTTATTTTATTGAATGCCAAGTTTTATTAGTAAGTGAACTATTCCTTTAAGTTGGTCTGTTTGTTTTTCTTCTTAACATTACTAAATACTTAAAAAAAATAATAAAATAATTTTATTGTATTGTTTTATTTATTTATTTCATTTGGTTGTTTGTTGTTTTATAAATAAAGGAATAGTTCACTCACTTACAAGCATTATGTTATAATAAAATAAAATAAAATTGTAAGTATTTGTAGTTTTTGTAAGTTAAAGGAGTAGTTCACTCACTAATAAACATTACTCTGGTGATTTGATTTGATTTATGGGTCAGTTTGTTATTTATGGGAATACAAAATAAATCTAGACCAAATGTTCTAGGCAATTTTGGAAATATTTATTTTGTTAGCATGTGGCTAGCTTAACTGTCTAATTCTTTCAACGTAATATTCTTTCTCCAACAGATTTGATTAAAGGCAACAGACTCTTTAATGCATAATCAGAAAAGATATTAGATCTACTACATTTTTATTGTTTGTAAATGGGAAATAGTTTCAGGTTATTGATATGCACAGAGAATCATTAATATTTAGCAGCCATATCATGTTTAGAGGCAAAAGAAATACATCAAGGCCAAAGAAACACACACAGACAGACTGAAGAGGCTGTAATAGTCCTCTGCTTTGACACTCTCATTAGCCTCCTATAATCCTTATGATTACCGACGCGAAATCCTGTTGCCTTTGCCGTCCATGTAGTAATGTCAAGCCACCTATTGAGGGGATGAAAAGGACAATTTGTGGTGCATGGAGAGCAGATATAATTCTGGTTTTGTTATGTTGGAGGTCCCAGTAGAGTTGCTTCTCTGCTTTAAGGTCAGATCCCTGTCTTTTGCCGGTAATGACTGTAAAAAGCAATTAGCATTCATGGTAAGGGTAGCGGTCTCGACAGAGGGCACTCCATACATGATTACATTGCATTATTTGTCCCTTTTTTGGTGGAAACCGCAGTCGATACAATATGTTATTGTTATTAATTTGAGCTTTTCAAGTTGTTATCTTTCTAATGTTGGATAAATGAGTACATGATACCCACTATTGCACTCAGTAATAAAACATCACACCTACCCTTTATTACAAAACCAGACACATACTTCTACAAGTCATGGCTGGAGGCTGTCTACATTTGTAAGCATCGAAGCTACATTTTATTTCTGAGTATTTACTAACACAGACTAATCAGCTGGAAGATTGAGGCTACAATTCAGCAACAGTAAAATTAAATCAAATCCTACTTCATTTGGAAATGGTGTAAATTTGACTCTGTGTTAATATTATTATACAGTATATTTCTCATATACACTACCATTCAAAAGTTTGGTTCAGAATTTGTTAAATATTTTAAAAGTCTCTTAAGGTCACCAAGGATATATAATATAATGTAATGTAATGTAAAGTAATATAATTTATTCCTGTGATGCAAAGCTGAATTACTTCAGTCTTCAGTGTCACATGATCCTTCAGAAATCATATGCTGATTTGCATCTCATGAAACACTTATTATCAATGATGAAAATAGTTACATAAAATAAAGCATAATATTTTTAATATTATTTAGTTTTCTTTTCACAATTATTTGATAATAAAAAAATAAGTGCTGTCAAACGATTAATCACGATTAATCACAACCACTATTATGTTTACATAATATATGTGTGTGTACTGTGTATATTTATTATGTATGTATAAATACACACACATACAGTATATATTTTGAAAATATTTACATGCATTTACATGTATATGTTTATATTCATATAATTTATATTATATATAAATATATTTAATATATAAACATTACATATTTTTCTGAAATATATACATACATGTGTGTGTATTTATATATACATAATAAGCACACACACATATATTATGTAAACAAAAACTTTTATTTTGGATGCGATTAATCGCGATCAATCGTTTGACAGCACTAAAATAAATAAATATAAACAAGTAAGCAAGCAAGTTGGCCCCATTTTGAATGGTAGTGTAACTACAACTGCACATACATTACAGAAACAAAAGAATTAGCCTGACAGTATAGGGTTTCTTTTAAATCAAAACACAATAAATATCTAATTTGGTTCATTTCTGATTCTGACAAGAAAAATAAAGTAGACAATTTGGTAACACTTTATTTTAAGGTGTCTTTGTTACACGTTACATGTACTTACTATAATAATAACAATAAATTATGCATAATTACATGCAAGTAACCCTAAGCCAAACCCTAATTCTAAGCCTAACCATAAAGTAAGTACATGTAGTTAATTAATATTACTCAGTACTTAAATGTATAATTACACTGTAACAAAGACACCTTAAAATAAAGCTTATTCGACAGTTTTTTATTTTATTATAAACTTCCACAAAATTTTCATTTTTGAGTGAACAATTGCTATTACTATTAAGTGAGTGTACCATGTGATAAAAACCGAAATAGAGCTTCCGCGACGTGCCATCGGCTGCTTCCAGTGCAGACAGCTGATCATAATGAGCACGATTTAGTTTTGACGAGTCACGTCACACCATAGTGTTATGCTGCTTTCCAATCCGGGAAATCAACTTCCTACTTTGAAAAGTGTAATAGAATCCCACATAAAATTGGAAACTTGGAAACAGAAATTCATCCCTCAAGTCAGTGTGTACCTTTTCAGCACCCAGGGAGATGTACAAAACATCATAAGCAAACAACATACATCAACGAGTCATAGTTCTTACATTATGTGATAAATTTTTTTTTGCAAATGTTAGCTGAGACAGGTGTGATCCTGTATGTTGATAATTATGCACCTATAGAACATGTTAACATTGCACAGGAATGTTTATTCTCTGTAATTTGGTTGCCAGATAACTTCTTTGTTCATAGTTGAACACCTGTTAAGCGAAGATTGCTATTTGGCATTTTGTTTTGTATCGTCTGGCCTTTATGGTCTTAAATAAGTCACATCAGGTTGGAACATTCTACATCTGAATTTAAACGGAACACAGAATTATTCCCACAACAGCTATAATTTCCTAAATTCTGTTTGTGTTGCCTTGATATCGTCCTTTACCTTGATTGGCTGAGTTTGCTTTGTAGATTTATCATCTTGATTTACCTGAACTGTGTTGTTTTGTTTACACGCAGATCTCCGACGGCAAAATTAACGGTATCCGGTATGCAATAGATCACCCAGCGTTATCCATGTTTCTCCAGGGTCATGACAATGAATTATGGGAGTTGTTTCTGTATTATGAATTGTGTAATATTAAGCATAAAGTCGCCTGCGTTATAGCCAACGCAGCAGCACTCGTGCGCTTATTGTCTTAGACTTTCTCATGCCTGCGGGATCACGTTGGCTCCTTTTGATTGACGGCTACATAATAGCTTTGTTGTGGCTAATGGAGGATGTGTCACTTTCTCTCTGCTCAGCCGTTTTGCTCGCTGCACCTACAACTGCAGATGTCAGAGAACCCGTACCTCTCAGGCTCCATCTCCACCAAGAGCTTGGCACCGGGAGTCATCGTGGCTACAGGTAAATGAAAACACGAGCGGCATGTGGGGGACTGTCATGTTCAGCTGCTGTTGGGTGTGTTGGCGTGTTTGTAAGAAGCTTAAACAATGCTTGTTACGTCAGGCTGGTCACTAAGGATGCTTTTATGCCAGAGCTTTTGCTGCAGACCCTCACGTTTGTTTGCAGTCAGTGTTTGGTCCATTTAGTTGGTGTGAAAGTGGATTTTGGCTCCAATTGAAAATGTAATTTGGAGTACGACTCAGCTTGTTTATGAGCAAATCATCACATCACCTAAATCACAACTTTTAAATGCATAGTTCACCTGACAATGAAAATTATTTGCTTAACCTCATGTCGTCTTAAACAAATCGTCTCAGGTTACTTATGTAACCATGGTTTCCTGAGTAGGGAACGAGACACTGCGTCCTCTAGGGGTCACTATGGGGAACGCCTCGTTGTGACCCGTGTCTGAAGCATACATTGAAAAAACACCAACTTGTTGGCCAGCGACAGCCATGACGTCACTACCGGCGCGACTATAGTATAAATAGGCGCCGGGAGCACACATCATTCACTTCTTCGTCTGAAGCTTGCGTCCGCAGCATTGCAAGAAACCTAGAGGACGCAGTGTCTCGTTCCCTACTC